CCCCGTCCCCCCCCCCCCTCCCCCGCCTCTGGGATGGTCTGGGCAATAATGACAATTTTTTCGATAACGCAGCCATTTCTTGACGGATCCTTCTCATCTTCGAACTCGACTGAGATATTGATGAGATCATTCTATGTACAAAATTTCATGACAATCGGATCAACCTTTCAGGAGCTATCGTGTAAACGGCCGGACACACTGACCGATTCTATAGTGTACTCACTTTTGTTTTTTGAGTACACAAAAAGAATTTAAAGATTTCATCAAACACTAATCAATTGTTTACTGTTGAGAGAAAATTATGTTTTTGTATGGTATCGATCAGTTCCAATGTAAACATGTACTCTCCATAGAAAAAAAACACTTCATATTTTGTTTTTATAACAAATATTATTCATTCTATTTAAATAGAAAAATATTTTTCTATCTTAGCAAATGCGAGCCATATTAAATTATTTCAAAAACAATGATGGTTATTTTTTCGTTCGACAAAGTTCATCGGTTCAAGATGATTACGCAATATCAATTATTTGGCAAAATAATCTTGTACATGTTAAACTTCATAAAAAAGTATTATTCAACTCATTTTAAAACTACAAAACAAAATTTGTTTTCTTTCATTAAATTAGAATTTTAATTCATATTATTTCGAAGATCGCCTTCACTATCATGAAAGTCTTGAACACGCTATTGATTATTTTGTAAAAATATACAAAAGTGTTGTTAAACCATTAAGTCTAGGTAGAGATTATTGATTTTCAAAATATAAACTATTTCCCACTGACTTATTTTTATAAAGACGCTGCAAAACTAGCTTACGCAAGTGAAACATCATCTTCAGTATCACAACGATTATTGACATCGACTTCTAAAATTTTTAAACCATCTAATCAATCATCACACGAGTCACCGAATATCAACACTTCAGCAACTATCGGTTAATTGATATTTATCGAATAATTCTATATGAAACTATTCTTTTACTTTTTTCATTCTCTAGCAGAAGCACATCCATTCTCTAAGAGTCGTCCGCAAAATGTACATAATAAACAAAAAATGGCTTTAACAATTGGCAAGTGGATATCTAGACAACGGTGCGATTTTATAGATTTTGTTTTTCTAGAAAAAAGACTTGTTAATCCGCTTGTCAACAAAAAGGTGGTTATTATTCGTGAAGAGCAATTAACCATTGGTAAATTGCTAGGTGAAGGTAATTTTGGTAAAGTTTACGCTGGAGAATATCAAGACGAGCATGGTTCAGTTGTAAGTTTATTAAATAGAAAATTAAGAAAGAGCTTAGTTGATTGTATTTTGTATGCAAATTTAGTATCCTGTTGCTTTAAAAGTCTTGAAAGCATCAATGGATTCAAGATCGAAAGAAGAAATGAAAAAAGAAGCATTTGTTATGAAAGAATTAACTCATCCGTGCATTGTTCGTCTCTATGGTGTATCTCAATCGAGAAAATTGAACAGTACATTAATGGTATTGATTATCGTTGCTCTACAAAACACATTCGCATATTGAATGGCTTAAAGGCTTCATATTTTTTTGTTCAGATTTATTATTACATCTTCATCAAACGCCAGAAAAAAACATCTTGCCCACTTCTTGGTTGTTGGTTCAAGCAAAACTAACATTCTATGCACTAACAAATTAAAATTTAAAGCTTCGATTTGTCTTCTGCATAATTTTATTTCTCTTTCACATATTTAATTGTTCAATATGAATTAGGTTCAAGAGCTTTTGTCAATGGGATCACTGGTGGACTATTTAAAAACACATGTTAAAAATCAAATGCGACCATTGTTCAGTTTGTGGGTAACACAAATCGTTCACGGCATGGCTTATATGGAGAAAAAACATTTTATTCATCGAGATCTTGCTGCAAGAAATATTCTAATGCAATCGAATTCACGAGTAATATAAAAATAGATACATATAGTAATTGGTATTGTTTTGTAAAAGTGAAATATTCGATTCTATTCTAGATTAAAATATCTGATTTTGGTTTATCACGTAGCGTTGACTCAAGTGACTATTATGTTCAACAGAGTGACACACCAATACCAATAGCATGGTAAGAAAAAGCGTAACAAAATTTTTTTGTTAAAATTAAAATCAATAGATATAAATCAACAATACTGTGTATGATTTAAGGTATGCACCAGAATCCCTCCTTCACGCTAAATTTACAAGTAAAAGTGATGTATGGTCATTTGGTGTAACAATGTGGGAAATCTATACATGTGGTCAATTTCCGTATGGATCCATGCCTAATGAAGAGGTTTGCATATTGTTTCAAGACTCTATTAATATGATATCTCTGGAGAGAGAGAAAAAAGACTTCCTGAAGATTTGTCAGCCACTTCTCACATGCCCCCAGCGGATTGCGTTCCGAATCATGACTATTGTAAACAGTCATGCGCGATGTTGATTATCATCGTAGTTAGATGCAGCGAGATTAGAGCAGAATTTTTCTGGACTACTTCCTCTATGAATTAAAAAGTATAATTTTTTGGATTAAAAAATGGGTTCTTATTTGAGAGTTTAGATGAATTCATAAGCATACAAAATTGAGACATTTCACGTATAACTCTCAAAAATGACTAACGGATTTAATCGATTAGAACTCAATAAAAATGCGTATCCTTTAGATCTGTCAATATCTTAGTTGTAATGGTCGTCTTCAACGTCCTAGTAGCTGCAGTAGCACCGTGTATGAGATAATGCTTCGGTGCTGGGCATTTAACGCACATGATCGTCCATCATTTGGAGATTTACTTAAAGTTTTGGCCAATCGGTCAGAATTTGCTGCTGCTATTCAACATTTTCAAAATTATTCCAAAGATTAAAATGCACACTACAAAACATCGACAACACACACACATACATATCATTAATTGATTTATTTAATTACGTTTTTAAAAAGTCACACAAATATAAAAACTCTATCCATTGATTGATAATTGTAAACACAAAAAAAACACCACTAACTTTAATTGTTCTTTTGTATTAATAAAAAAAATCAAGTGAAATTTTCTTTTTCATTCAAACTCCAGTGGCAGTTTGACGTTTATCGTTATCACGCTTGGCATTAATAATACAAGTTTTCATTCGACTTAAATCACGTTTTGCTTTTGATAATTGTGTACCGGAATTAAGTTCAAGAAAACGTATGAGTTTAGCCCAATCACATTGACTTTTGTCGCTTTTCTGTGATGCTACTGTACGTAGGTCATCCTCGGCACGATCAATTGTTTGTCGATTTTCTTGCATCTTTATCTTTCGATTATTATACCAACGTTCGACATCTTGTTTGGCTTGTTCTCTTAGTGCTTGAATTTTTGAATTTTCTTCAACATCTTTTTCTGCAATTTCCTGTTGACGACGTCGATTAAATGCTTCTAATGCTGATAAATTCTCTTGCGAGGTTATGCCAGTTGAAAACATATTGGTGCTCATCGATGAAGTTGTTGGTATAGGCGGTGAAAACATATCATATGATGAAGTCTCGTCTTTAGAATAGAGAATACATATTAAGTCTAACAGCTAAAACTTAATTATATTAATTACCTGATTGGAATGCGGCTGTGTTGTCCGTATGAGTATCCGTATGAGTATCATCGGTTGTTGGTGAAAAATCGTTTGTAAGATATGAATTATGTGTATTTGTTAACTCTCCATCATCAAATAACTGCATTTCGGATGTCATTGTTGTTGTTGTTGTTGTTGTTGTTGTTGTATTATTTAAATTCTAGATGATTATTGAATAGAAGAAAGTTTTTATTCATTAAAGAGAAACTCTTACGTCGTTTTCAAGCCAAGAAGGATCTGTTGATTGATCATTACTGAAAGTATTTATTGACTCTGTATTTGCAGTATTATCGGAGCCGAATAAATCATCCTCTGGAACATCTGTAATTTGTACTCCTGATGTTGCTTGATAAGTCTCATTGAATATATCGAAATCAGCCATTTTTTCGTATAGAAATGTTTACGTTAGTAACTTCTTCTTTGTTAATATTGACTAAATTTGTCTCACACTTTTCTTCGTCTGTTCGTTCTAGGTGTCTGTTTTTATCATTTCACATGACTTATCTTTTTTTTTCTTCATGTGTTATTAGTAAACAAATAAGACATAGGGAAAGAAGAGATATGAATAGTTTGCTTCGTCTTCTTCTTTTTCATCATTCAAATATGTTAGATATGAATTTATAAAGATAATGTTTAGTTATAGTTATACGATCCTATCAGCAATTGTGAGTCAATACAGCTTTTGATGATCCTACTGAAAAAAATTGACTTCGAATTATTTAAATTTTTCTACTTGCATTTTATTGCAAAGCATTATATCTATCTACCTCTATAATAAAATTACAAAAATAAAAGGAGCAAACAAAAAACAAGTATTTGGTTATTTTCCATTCCTCCGCTACTATGATTAATCGTATTCTTGCCCAACAGTAATACGTGATGACTCATACTGCCTACTTCATTTATTAGTAGCATACATATTACTACAAAAGGTGTTTTTTTTTCTTTCAATTGTCTCATTTACATATTCCTCTTCTAGATTATACTTATCAATTAATATTTCGCCTAACAATTACAATGTATAATTCAGCCATGAACTCACAAGTATATTGTTTTAAATCATATTTTCTTTTTGTTTACAATAAAAATGATGTTTTTCTCTTAGGATGATTCCGACATAACTATTATAAATCCTTCGATTATAAATGAACATAATGATGAGTATGTACCTATAATAACACGTTTAAAACAAGCTAATAATTCATCTGAAAATAGACAAGTAGCAAGTTCTCATGTTCAAAAATCTGCTGTTAAACATCCAAATTCTGAAGTTAAACAAGACTATATATTCGTTGATAATAATCCACAAGAACATGCTAAACAAGTTGAACAAGCATTAAAATATTATGTGCAAGATTTGACGCAAGAAACGAATACACAATGGCAATGTGATAAACAATTAGTTGTACGTTTAATGGATCTTGTTCGACCAGTCTATTCACATGATCAAATGAAATTGATTGAATTAGAAGAAATGCAAAAACAAATTGGTTCTTTACATGATAAACGATATATTGAGCAACGAGAAAAATTTGAACAATTACGTGCGGAAATTTGTCAGCTCAATAAAATGTTACTTGAACACAAAGACGAACAATTAATATCTACTGATCATGCTGATCATAACTCAGTTTATAATATTGCTGATAAACGACGTAAAAATCAGTTGAAAATAAATTTTATTTCTAATTCTTTTTGTTTTAAATATTTTTAGACTCAGTACAAGATTACGATCAATGGACTGAAATAGCAGATGATACAAAAAAACTTCATGAGATTGTTCAATTACAACAAAATCAAATCAATGAACTTGTTAATTTAGTATCAGAAACAGGTAAATTAATCTCTGTTCCAAATATATTTAATACTTTCTATTTCTAATTTATAGCGACAGTTCCAGTTAGTCTCATCAATCCACCTGATGATCCAAGTACTGATGCCAAAACTGTCATGCCTGACCCACCGAATCCAAGTAAAACATTTATGAATACACTTCTACAGAAGATTCAAAATTTGTCAGGAGGGCAAACAGAGCCAGCGTCAACTGATCTTGCGCCAGCAGTAACACTTGACAATCATTCACCTGGTACATCACCTAGTCAATCATTGGCTACGTTAATTCCAGAATCATTTATGCAAGTACAGCCTGCCAATCAAACAGAACAAACCAAAGATACACAAGAGGAAATAGACGACATGCAAGAACCTATACGTGACGAACCACATGTACTACCCATTGATATTCCCATCGTTCCTGTTGCTCCTCCAAGAGAACTAAAAAAATGTCCCGTTTGCAGTCACGAATTTTTGTTAACTACTAGTGATGAAGACATGTACGATCATATTGAAACATGTTTATTTCCACCGACGGCTCGTGCTGAACCAACGCATTATGAATGCCCATATTGTTATAAAAAACTTCCAGGCAATAATGAATCAGCTTATCTTCAGCATTTATCAGACTGTATAAATCGGGATTTATAAACATTGATTTCATATAAACAAAGCAAAGGAATCAATAGACATTAGCCCATGCTTTACTTTGTTAAAAAATATTTATTATGCTCGAAAACGCGAGATGTATGTTTTTCTTTTATTTTCTTTCAATAAAAAGCATATTTTAAATTTCAAAGTTTTCTATAAACAACAACTATAGATGGAAAATAAAAAAGTTGCTCAGATCATATAATAAGGTTCAGTTTACATTCCGAAATTCCATTTGATATGAAAAAATATTCTGTTTACTTTCTTGATTTGTTTAGGTTTAGCGTCATAGTTGGAAAACATGTGTCATGAGTATACGCACTATTTCAATGCTCTTCAAATAATATTTGGAAAGAAAGCAAGGTGCAATGTAAGCTAACCATGTGATAAATTTGTTGCAGTTTATAAGAGAAAAAATAACGAAGGGAGGCGAAGGTGGTTATTCTTCGTTTTTTGTTTTGCTTTCTGTACAGTAGGATATACTTGGAAAAGAGTATACCATGTCAAAAATATCCACTTCATCTAGCGAGCAAATCTTTTTTCAAGGAGCGACTTTTCCCGTACGGTTCTGATACTCTTTAAAAAAAAGAGGGTTGCCAGTCAAAAGGAAGATATCAACGATTTCCGAATGTACCACTTCTCCGGAGCACCTGAAGTACAATAATTATTCAAGGAATATAGGAAGAAAAAAGATGAATCATACAGCTGCGTCTTGCGATATCTATATTTATTCTTTGGATTAATTGATTGTTAGAAAATTTCAAGTTCTTTTTCAAGCTAGGTTTTTTTCTTTTATATTAAATATTTGTCAACGATTATACCAATGCCAGGTTAGTTTTCTTTTAGCCGAGCAATGTCTTACGTTTAAACCGCCAATGGTCTCATTTGTTCGTACATGCGCAGTCTGGATATTTATTTTAACTCATAGGAAAAAGTGTAACATCTACTTTTTTTCAAACTCCTTAAAAGCAATTACAAACGTGAACCCTAATGTTAAACACATTTCATCGCCACTTTCAATCGTTTTATTTTTCTTTACTTTTCAATTGATTCTTTTTCTGTACCCGTTAAAAAGCTTGACAACGACCCGTTTGTATAACTAACCTTTGAACAACATAAATTTATAACTAAAGATAAAGTCATTTCGAGTCACAATGCATTCAAGAATATATCCATTAGTAGATATGCTAAAAGTCGAAGATTTCATACCCTATCGAATCTTCAGGTGGATAACTTGTTTTCAATTTCGATCAAAAATATCACGAGTAGCTAGTGATTAACTTTTTTCTTTCCACCAGCAGCTGCTGAACTAATTATGTTCACCAACACGCTGAAGATTCCGATAGGATTCTGACGTCAATTACATTTTATTTTCGCCTGTCTTACTTTTCACCGAGTACAATATATAAAAGTGCAAAGACAAAATGTTTCTGCCTGAGAACTCAATTTAAAGTAAGAAAAACACATCATTCACACAGGAAGTATTTTACTGAAGCAATGCAATATTCAAAAATATTGAACCGTTGTATGATCAATTTAACACAGTAGATAATACTTTTTTACATTGAAAAATTATCATCATTCTCGTGACCTTACTAATTATGTTTTGGTCTGTAAAATATATAGACACATTCTAAAAATACTATCTCGACTCGTATTATTCATAAAAATTCATGAAATTTCTGTCAAAAAGATTTTTCTTATGGCTATATATATATATATATGTTATTCTGCATTTGACGGAAACTGTCTTTTTTTACTTATAGAAAGGTCGAACATAATTTTTTCCATTATGTTTCTACTTCTTAAAATAGAAACACAGACACCCTCTCTCTCTCTTCACAAATGCATTGATATCGTATATACAATATATTTTCTAAATTTTTAATATTCTACGTCATATTCTAGTAATTAACACTCGAAATATCTATTAAGTCATGCTTGTGGAATTTTGTACTTAAATACAAAGGTGATTGTATTGTTGCAAGTTGCTTTGAAATATTCTATAATTAAAAGTCTAATTTGAAGTCTCCTTTTATGATTAGCTAATATAAAACTTTTTGTCGTTCTTTCACCATTGTCACCATCATCATCATCTGTTATGTTACTCTATCAATTCCCTATGAAAAAAATCTTAGGTTTCTTTTACGAGAAAAAAAAATACTTGAAATTTCTATCTTCTAATCATAATAATCAACTTGAAAAATCCTAATAAAAAAAAAAGAAAAGGTTCTTTCTTTTGTCGTAGTAAAATTATATTATTGCATTGTTGTATATCTATGGTCTATTTTAATGGACTGAAAGATTGTTTGATGGGTAAAGTTAAAAAATTGAAATGATATATTTGATTTTAAGAAAGAAAAGAAAATGTTCGCTTCGCTCTTGATTTTCAGTTAATTTCATTTATTTTGTTTTGTACATAAATACATTCATTGGAATCACTGACATATATATATCGAAGTAACGACGACAATTTTTCGTGTCGAATAAACTTCATCAAGGTAGCAACATTGAGACAAGTGTGTGTATGATCATTTGTTTGCTCGCACACATTTTATGTCTACTTTTGTAGGCAGAAGACGTTTGACAAGAAACAATCAGAAGTGTGTTTCTTTTTTATACATAAAAACACAAACAATACATCATAGAATAGCAATTCACTAAAGTGTCTTTTTTTTCATATAATACACCACGATATACATTCATGAATTATGGCACTACGATTCGGTATGTACTTCGATTGAAATTTAAATATTGAACTTTGAATTTATCTATTAATCAAGTGCAAAGGTATTCTCTATCTTGGTATACTATCGTACTGTTTGTTTCTTTTGTATTTCAACGACCTTGCGTATTCAATATCGATTCTAGTTCAATCCTTGTCTTGTCTTTTTCTTTTTCTTTTGTTATTATACACCAGTATAACAAAAGGAAAAACGTTTCTTGAAACCTAGATACGTTCTAAACGTAAAAATACAAAGAAATATTTGCAAGGAGAAATAGCGAATGAATGATGGCCTTATAGAAAGCGCATGTATGCGGGTGTCTGAGCGAGCGAGAGTCGTTTTAATTATTTCAAAAATAAAAAAGGCAGAATGGAAGGACAGAAAAATAAATGAGACGAACAAGACGACTTGTCGTTGTTCTTTTCTCGTCGTCATTGCTTTTTGCTATTATTCAATCATGAGAAAGAGCAAACGACACTAGAAATGATACAATACGTTTCAGTGAGTATTGTTTCAAAGTTTCGTTTGATTTCTTTTTCTTTTCTTCTCTTTTCTTCTCTTTCCACTCTTTTCGTCAATACATTTACCGAAGGAAGAACTTTCGCTTGTTTATATATTTTGTTTATAATATATGCTATTGATTAATTGAATTTACTATTAATAATACTACGAAACGTAGAGAGAAAAATGCTGTAAGTATATATATATATATATATAGATATTTCTCATTAAATAATATTTAATGAAAGGTTCCATTTTTATCTTTTCAATTATAACACATCTATAAAACAAAGTTAAAAGGTTTTTTATTCAAAAAAGGAAAAAAAGATGATAGACGGAAGGAACAATCACTCTCAATTTTGGTAATCTACATTGATTGGTTATATATTGTGTTTCTTTTTTTTTCTAACTAGTAAATTAACTCAGCCTCATCTATCCATGAATAATATGTTCCCACCGATTAATCCTCATTCGAGGCCTCCCTCCGAAGATTTGCGTGGCGTTGGCACCAATGGCACAACTGAAATTCATTCGGCTTCGAAACAACAACAAATTCGACGACAACAACAGCAGACAATCGATCAACAACGACGGAGTCCACTTAGAAGTAATTCGTTATTAACGACAACAGCGAGTAGATATGTAACAGCAGCAGCAGCAGCAGCCGCTGCTGCTGTTTCATCGCCTTCTGTATCGGTTTCACCTCTTGTTCGTTCACCATCATTTGTGCAAAATGGTTCTTCAGCACAATTTGAACCCGCAAAAAGTGAGCTAGATATAAGCAATATCAGTCACAACAGCAGTTCTTCTTTTAACACACACCTATCAATGCCCGATATGTTTATTTTCTTTCTTTGATTAAAATGAAAAAGCATGCTCGCAACTAATGCTGTGTAAAAAATAACATACCTGAGGAGAGAAAAAACATTCAAAAAGAAAAGAAAATTCAAAAGAATTCATATATATTTTTCTGTTGTTATTGTGTTTTAGTCATTTATCGGTCAAGTGATTATGCATGGAATGATCATTCCAATAATGTAAATGCCTCTAATCAACCGATGCGTGCTGGTAGTCCAATTAAAAGTAAAATCGTATCATCAGCACGTCATCTGACCAATGGAACACTACATGAAAGTACAGCAGCTACAGCTGGTGCGTCCATACTTCATATACCAACACCATCATCTCCACAACAAAACTTTCGTGAGGACATGAATAATGGAGATTTACTTGTATCACCTACAGCTAAATCTCGTCATACAGCACGATTTCAACGTACGAATAGTCATTTAGATAAATCACCTGCTACAGCTGGCTACGGTTTACCAATGCGAAGTGAAAGCTATCGTTCATCTCGTCTCGATTATGGCGGCATGAGACCGCGACATACATCATCCAAACAACGAAATTATGTTAATTCTAAAACATCATTTCATGAAGTGAATAGTGGCGAATTCTATCTAACGAGTGCGCAAGATGAAAATATCTACTATCATCCACAACAACAACAACAACAACAAATGAGTTTAATGAGTAGTACACAGCGTTTAAATGGTTCAACACTTGATATAACAGCTAGTCGAAAACCATTGTCACCTAATCGAACAAATACATATAATGTTCCAATGAATGGAACGGCTCAACATAATTATTTTACTTCATCACAAGAACTTCATCGTAGTGAAACAAATATCGATCGAAATAATAATTACGGACGTTTTACTGGACGTGGTACAACATCCAAAGAACAAATTGTGTCTGCACCTAAATATCGTCATTCATCAACAACACCAGTAGTAATGTCAAACGCACCTGGTGAAAGACATCCATCAGCTCAATCCTATAAATCTCGTGATGCAAATATCTCATATGCGTATACAGATGTGAAAAAATATATTGATGAAAATGATTTAATGTCACCCGAAAAAGAACAAATTATACGAAACTGGGTTATCGATGTTGAAAAACATCGACATCACTTACAAAAATTTGAGTGAAGACTACATTTCTTTTTGCTTCTTTCTTTTCTGAAATCCGGTTTTGTTCTTGTTTTGTTCTAGCCCATTGAGTCTTTCGTGTGACGTTACTTTTTTTTCCTTCTTCTATAAATATACGTATATACATACATATATATATATATACATAGAGAGAGAGAGAGATACATAGATATACATTGAAATGGAGAAAAAACGAAAGGAAAATTTATTTATAATTTTTTTTCTGTTTTTTTATGTCATTGTTGTTTTTAATTCATTCAATCAATAAGAATCAATCGTTAAGACACATCAAATATTCGTGTCTGTTCATCGTTTTCGGACCCTTTGAATACCAATTAATTTACTATTTTCTTTTGTACGTGTATTTATGTAGGTGTGGACATTGGCATCTTTGGCGTTGTTGCTTCGATCCTTATGTCAATATTACCTATCAACATGTGTCGCGTCTTCATTACGGTCACTACTATTGCTCAAAAGAGAAAATCATTCGACAATGATTCAATTGACTGTATTGGTGACGATTTTCATTATATTTCTTCGAACTTTTACGACTTCCGTCTTAACAACTATTGATCCTAAACATGAATTGTTAACTGAAATAGTTGGAAGGTATAGTGTTTTATTTATTTTTTGCTGTATATCGAATATTAGAAAAATATGAAGCATCGATATTTAAATGTTCGTTTAGATATCGAATCGCTGCTCGGAATCTACGTGAAAGTGAATCAACAATACCATTTAAAATTCAATTTCCCATTCACGATATACTTAAAGTTGACGGATCAACAAATGAATATATATTTCGAGCAACGATTGAAATAAATTATCAATTTGAATTTCTTCATTGGGATTTTAATGATACAAAAAATCGTTATTATGATATCAATGAAATTGTTCTAACTAAAACAATGCTGCAAACTCTTTGGCTACCTGACATTCATTTAAAAGATGAAGAATTTCTCTCATTTAAAATTGAACATGAATCAGCTAAAATAACTCGTGATGGTTATATTATATGGATTCGTCGTGGCTTATTTACAATTCTATCATTAATTGATTTAACATATTATCCATTCGATCATCAATATATACGCATAAATATGTTTAATAAACAAAATTCATTTCGATTAGAATATGAAAAGAAAAATATCTCGAAATTTCATTCAATTGTATCACGTTCATTCAATTTATGGACAAGATTATTTGGTAGTTTGGAAACGAATTCAGCCGGAAATCATTCATTAATCTTTCAAGAAAGTGATCAATTAATGAAACCAGTTCTTTTACGTGGTTGGTTTGTTCGAACACTTGGTGTTGAATCGAAACCTGATAGTGAAAATTTAAATTCATTGAGTATATACATTCTAATGCAACGTCGCCGTGAATCTCATATATATACAACTATTTTACCCACATTATTTTTTTCTGTGTTTATAATTATATTTTATTTTTCATCAATTAAATCCTATCAACGTTTAATGATTGGCTTATTGCATATATTTGCAACATTATTATTTATGATACATCTTGATAAAAAAATCTCAGCTGAACAATTATCCTATACGCCATTAATCTTACGTTATTTATCATTGATATTTTTAATTGAAATTTTATCCTTATTTTTCGATCATATTATACATTCAATATATTTTGGTGGAATACATTTTGTAACAGATTGGTTGCGTAAGAAAGACAAATATGAAAGTCAGCCAGCTCGTTTATCGCATGTTAGATTATTGACACAGGGTTTACAATTAAATAATACGGATAATGACGAGGGAACAAATATATTTATGAAACAATTGATTGAACGTGAAGAATCATTGAAATTCGAAGACTATCAACAATATCAATGGCATCAACAAGCATGTCTGAGTGAATGTTTATGTTGTTCGTTTTTCTTAATAATTATTATTGTTGTATTTCTATTCATTTTTTTTATTGTACCGACATTTGGCTTTTATCAAAAGTGACTTAGATGTATTTTATTCGTAATATATAAACACGAGAAGAGCAAACAGAAGAAAAAATATTCGAATAAATTTATCTGACTTTTAAGATAAACTATATACAGAAGAAAAAAAGTAAATTATTTTTTTATTTTAGGAAACAGTTTAACGTCTTTTGTTAATGTTGATACAAAAACAGGAATTTGTTGACGCTGATTCATATAAGGATCAGTACAATTAGAATGATAATCCATCGATACACGACGATTAACTTTGGTTAAAATTCTTAACATATCCCATTCATGACTGTGATCACGTAACATATCGCAAAGAGCTTGAATAAACCATGAGCCTTTTAGAGAATTTCGCCAAGCATAAAAACCTAAGACAGTAAAAACAAATTCTCATACTTATACTACATATGTAAATAAATATTACCCGGCATCGTTGAATATACTAATAAAAAATCTGCTTCAGACGGTATATGCGATGCAATACTAATCACTTCATTATTATCTTTCATGGGTAGTTTTCGATGAGATGTCATCACTTTTTGACCGCGACATGCCTAAAAAATGAAAATCAATTTTAAATAACAAATCAATTTTTAAGTGCGAACTTGAAAAATAAAAATTTTCGGCTTTCCAAGCAACGTATTCGCTGATCTTTTAAACGGTTCTGTTAGAGTACTTATATTGAGTGGCTGATCGGCACCATAGATAATATCTCGTTCATCTCCATGTGATAACAAAACAAAAATAAAACAGTCCGATTGTGAATAATCTCGTTTGGCAGCTAAAAACGAAACTTCAAAATATTGTCATCAATGAAAAACCTCTCTTTTACCTTGTTCAGCAATAGTTAATATTTGTGCGGCTGTTCGATTGTGATAAACTTCTGTATCGAAACCAAGTCCAAGAAACGTTCCTTCTAATCGACTAGCATCGAGATTGGTTCCATCACGCGAATTTAAACCTGTATTTGGATGAAAATCTTTATTGTTAATAATAATCGCTGTGCCACGTTGTTTATGTCCCATGAAATATTCATCGATATCTGTAAAGCCGAGTTTTTCTGCTTGTCCAAGACTAGAGCAAAATTTTAGATTACACGTTGAAACTTATTATTATCGGTCATACTTCATACGAGGATTACTTCCATCAAGTAGATCGCCATTTTGATTTGGCTTATTTGCCATTGAGAATCTAAAAATTGAATCGCGCATTATATCTATTAAATTTACCATGAAAAGAAAACAAAAATTCGTTTTTATTAGGACTGATTTATAGAAATTTCAAATTGTCTGAGTAATAATTGTTTGTATGCTAAATATTTCCTTTTAATTGCGTGTATTTGTTCGACTTCTTCATAAGAAAATTTATCGATAAATGCGCGCAACATTGAGTCAGGCAGTACAAGATAATTTGATACTTCCAATGGAACTGTTTTAGATTTTCCATGTTCCATTAAATAAAATAAAATATCGTTTTCGAACGGCCCAGCTAATATGCGTAATATAAGTGGATAATCATCATCGCTCATTTCGATACAATTCCCATTTTGACTTTCAACTTTGTATAATGCAAATAAATTCGAATTGGATTCTTCAATAAAATGCTTGGAAAATAAAAGTGATATTGTTTCGTGAACTGTTGTTTCAGCATCGATATATACTGTTGTCATACTGTCTTTTGCTGGAATAAATGAACGAGCCTGAAATGCAACAAACAATCAAGAGTACTATTCTAAAAATGAATCAATTATTTACTTCGTCATCGTCATTTGATGATTGAATAAAAGATGGTATTGTGACACGTAGAGTTTTACGTTGATTGGATGATGCGCGAATCGTTTGAGCACGTCTCAGATTGACGATTTGATTTGGATCATTATCATCGGTTAAATATAATTTTGTTAAAATAGTATCATCGTAACATAAACGTTTACATATCGAGTCAAGATTCTAAAACATCAAGATACATTCTTTTGATTGATCTCTCAAGAAGAATTTCTATAAAAAAAAGAAATGCTTATCTATTCATTGTTCTCTCAAGTGTCTGATTTATTAATTATGCAAACGATGTTTTCAATTGACTATTTACTTTAGATTGTTGTTGATCATTGTCATTTTCATTATTTAGTTTTTCGTCAATCATTTCATAAATACCCAATGATTTAGGATATAGACCTAATGGTATTGATTGCCCAGATAGAAGTTTAATCGGTGTATTGATATTCCAATAGATACGAAGCATACCGGAAACACGCATTTTATCAGCTTTCTACAATTTTCGACGTTTTTAATTAATCATCTTCTAATTATAAATAGAATACTATACCTGAATGATATTTAAATGTGATGTTTTCTTTTGATTATATTCATTATAGAGATAAACTCGTTCAATAAACGATCTAATTCAAATACAATCAATAGAAAGATTGAGTCTAGTAAACTAAAAATTTACTTCATTGATCCATAACGAACAGCTGAACTTGTCGAAGTATCATTATCCTCGGTGATAGTGGTCGTTGTTGTTGTTGTTGTTGTTGTTGTTGTTATTGAAGTGGGTGATGATTCTTTTTTTATTTTAATCGTATTATTATAACAACTAACACAAAAAATATCCTCATCACGCTAAAACAAAAAACAAGATTAATCATTCTAATAAATAGTATAGATTTATTTCAATTCTATGCACCTGTTCGAAAGCTCCGTCGCCAATCGATTTATGGCACTCAACACAAATGATACAACCACTATGTAGAACTTTGCCTGATATTAATCGTCGTTCATCTAAATTTTCAATAAAATATACAGGCAAAATTATCTATTATCTCCATCATGCGTGATATGTTAATGCGCAGCATGCATACATACCGTATGGTATTGGCTGCAAACAAACTGGACATTGCGACATTCTATGCCAACGAACGATACTATTAGCGTCGTCAATAATATGTAAATCATGAAGTGAAACAGTAGTTGACCATTGCATAAGTAGAAACTCAAAGCTGAAAGCAGCATAAATATAATACAAATAAAGCATTTATAATAAAGTAGAGCAAAAGCTGTACGTTCATAAAGAAAAACACGTATATCAGGTTTTTTATTAATATTATTATCAAACAAAAAAAGAATGAGATCAACAAGTTTATTTCCTGAGGAGAAAATTTTATATATAATTTAATCGAATATACAATAACAAAAAAAAAGAATAACCAGAAAAACGTCTGATTAAATCAATCAAGTTTTTCCACTAATACCAGAATCAGGTGAACCATAACGAATTGTAAGAAATTTTTCATGACATGAGAGTTTTTTCATTGAATTATTCATTTCACTTTTATGACTTATGATTGTTGCATTTAGTAAATCATTATTATTATTACTATAAACTATTAAATTCATATCATCCGGTTCAGTTGATGGTTGAGAAACAGGACTTGTGTGATGTTGAATATTATTGATATTAATGGGTGAAGAATTTTCTTTTTCATTCATTGGTATGGTTGTCGTTGTTGTTGCTTCACATAAACGACGATCAAAATCAGATGCATGAAGAATTGGTTTACGATTTCGTGGTCGATTAGCTGCCGTTGATGTTGAACGTGGTGAAAAATGTGGTTCGTTTTCATCATCATTTTCATCTTCTTCTTCATCTTCAATTTCTTCGCTTGCAGTTGATTCTTGATGATTATCTGTCGTATGTAACCATTCATGTTGCGTTTGTTGCAACTGTTGTTGATTTATTGGCCGATTGTTAGTTCGTTTTGTTAATGATCTTGATCGATGTCGACGACGAGCACGACAACGTGAACTTACTTTTGATGTATTCAAACGACGATGTTGAGATTGAAGTTGTTGCTGTGATGGTTGTTGCTGAAATGGACGAACTGGCGCAACACTAAATGGCATATCATGTACAATTGATTCATCATCATCATCAATGATTGATAATTGTTCATCGAAACTAAATGAACGTGGCCGAGGACGACGCATCTGTGTGGATGATGATGGTGTTGGAAGAATTTGCTGTTGTTGATAATGCTGATAGTGTGGTTGTTGCTGTCGAGTATCGGTGGAATGCGTACGTAATGATGCACGACGCATCGTATGAGGATTTGAACGTGATGAAGCACGAAATTGTGCATTGGATTCAATCATACCGTAATCGGTAACAATACGTGGTGTCGGAATAGGAAGATTTGCATTAGGAGACGTAAGTAATTGAGCATTAAAAGCAAATGGTGGCGATGAATTTTGATCACGGCGGCGAAAACCATGTATTAAACGTGAAAATATAGATTTTGGTTCATCTAATAAAAATTAAACAATTGGTTTCAACAGAGAATTTAGTATCGAAAGATTTTTTACTTGAATAAAGTTTATGATCTTTTGTTATAAATTGTGTTTTCACTTGTTTAGCTTGTTCACAAGGTAATGTCGTATAACCACCATCTAAAGAAAACAAATTTTCTCTTAAGTCTAAGATATGAATTCGCTTACTTTTAAGCAGTAGAATTTTGTCTTGAATCAATGTACCTATTGTACTATAGAGAATATCATCGGTAGGTAATGGAAATTCTGGATATTGTAATTTTAATGTTGTTTTTATTTCATCCATTGAACCACCATAACCACCACTACGTCGGTTAATATCATTGATGATCAGACATAATACATTAGGTAATGAGATAAGAGGATCGCGTTCTTGTCGTTTCACATGAATATTACTCAATTCAACTAGAATGAGAAAACAAAAAGATTAAGCGCATTCATTTTAATTATCCTTTAATTCACACGAAAAATAAAGATGTTAATAAATCTCGATAAACGTAATAGTTATATATCGAAATCAATTCTAAGTATTCTTCAAATTAATCATACTGTTCCAAAATCGAAATCACCGTCAAATCAATATAAAATTCCTTCGTCATTGTTCACTATCGTCTGTATCATTAGTATATGGGCAATTGTCTTCTATTTTATTCTTGGTTTATGCTATCTTTTTAATTCTGGTATACTTTTACAAGACTTAGATTTTATTCGTTTAAATCAACTCAATGATATAAACTTATTTACGAAAGAAATCTATAGACAATTTTATCAATTATCAGTTCATTGTTTTGTTTCGGTTTCCGTTTATCTTATTCTATTTTTTATTTGTTTTCTTATTTTACAACGTAGAAACAAAAAGGAAGCTGTCTTACCAAGATCCGAAATAATAAAACCATATGGTGCTTGTAATAAACGTTGACAATAAATACGTTTTATTGTATTTAAACATTTTTTTGAACCCTTTATTAGAAGACCATTGGTACTAAGCGAACCACCAAATTGAACTTTTTCAAGAGTATGATACACTTCTTGATACCATACATGTGCTTCACGATTTATTGTGATAAATGACGAATAGACATTACGGATATTTAATAAATTCGTATTAACTAATGCTGATGGTTGACTTGCATCAATATTTAGTACAAGAAGTAAATAATTTTGAGATATTAATTTATCAAACATGATTATTATTATTTAGTGGAACTTTTCAAGGGAAGCATACTTATGAGAAAGACAAGGAATTGAATACAAAGAACAATGTTCAATTGGCCAATTGAACGATATCGAAACACATGTAGAGGGCGCGATAGATACAAATAGAAAACATATGAATATGTTTTTAATTGGTCAATGGCGAACATTAAAAAGAAATCGATCGAACAATGCATTTTTCGTATTGAAATGGTTTCTCCTCTTTGACTTGACAAGAAACGTTGATAATAGGTGCAAAATGAAAACTAATGAGCTATGATGATTCTCAACAAATATTATTTCTTTCCAATAAAAACATAACCAACAATTACGGTATATCAGATCCATGTATATTTAAAATACTAGCAATTGTCGAAAGTAAAAGATTATTTTGTAGTAAAAAAATTGTCAAGTGACTTTTCTTTGGTTTTTGACTGCATCATAGAATAATTCTTGTTCTAGAAGTATTAATACAGAAAAAGTTTTTGTCCGATTTTGCATGGATGTAACAGGTGCATATAATAATATAACAACGGACTCGTGATCTAATTTGAGTCAATATCTCAACATTACAATATAAACACAGTGTAGACTATTGTAAGTTCAATCGTTTATTGAGGATTCATGCATAGGCTTTCCATTGTATTCTTTCCAACACTGCTAAAACAGTCACAAAGAGTGCATTGAAATATGCTGAAATGACCACCATTCTAATTGATTTTATCCATTCATTCATGATATCGAGATTTGCATAAAAATATATACGTATGCCGATTGATTACAAGCATAGCAGCTAATCAAAGCAAGCGAAAACTTACTTCGACATGCATCGGTGAGAATTTCAAGGTAAACCGTTAAAAATAACAGCATGGCTTGATGTGTCTGTGATTTAGTTTGCATATTCAGAAGATTTCTTCCAACCTTTTCATAATCCACTCAATTCATTCCTTGAATAGGGATGACATGAGTTCATACTGATTTTACGGCAGTAACGATAGACGATATGCATTTGAGCAGATATCATCAAGGAATTTATCATATTAGCATCAATTTCTACGATGATGCTCAGAAAATTAGGGAGACACTTTAGCAGTATATTTCAAAGCATTTAACAATAAATTCATTCTTATCTTTGGTGATCAAAATATTGTACGTTTCCCAATGTTCGAAATGATCAGTTCAATGATTTCAACCGATTAGAATATTTTCCAATCATTTTTATATCGAATGTACTGGATTCAAAAGTGTACATGAACATTAAAAACGTTTACACCCTGAAAAAGTCACAATATTTTTTCTAAAATTTAACTCTGCGCACTCTGTATCCCAAAAGCTGCTTTGACTAGAAGTTATACAACACAAACACTACATGCACGATACTAATGAAACTGGTACTTGCCACCATTTAAACCACTCAAGTAGCATCCCGCTAATATTATTTCTCGCATCTGCATCCTTCATCTATGACAAAATCCATCCAACATCACTTTTATCATGCATATTAAGCCGACAAAAGCTCCTCTACATTTGTCTTCACACAAGAATCAGACATGGTCTAACCATCATCATATGCTTTCAATGTTGCAAACATCCATGTTGAATGTCAACATTAACATCTCTTACATTGTTCATTACGCTCTACCAGTTTGTTTAGACAATCGAGCGATTCAATTGCGTCGGAGATCAGGTGTGGTGAGTGTTTGTGATAAAACGTGCTGATGTTGCAATGAGATACATGCTTAGAGAATGAGAGTCACGGTGTTGTATTGTAATACATCTGCAAGATGTGGTGCTCCGACAGCTTCGATTTGATTCCAAGAGATATCAAGCGTGACGAGTGTCTGTAATAAAAATCGGAGATGGTTCCATGAGGTAGATGAGCAGAGAACGAGTGCTTCTTAATTTATGACTGAAATTTTTTTAAGCATTGTTAAGCAATTAAAGTCGGTGCCTTCCCCACTGAGCGGCCATTATGTATCCGGTGATTGGCTGTTTTTTTGACAGGCGTGTCTTCTGGTTGGACATTGATTGGGGTAATACGGGAAGGAGAAACAATGAACAACGATGCCCTGTTTTTTTTAGATTTATAGAAGCGATATTACAAGCGTGCGAGTTGAGAATGGGATGGGTTACGAAATATTAGCTCTGGAAATGGATCAGTGTGCCATAATATGTATCATTGCCAAGAGGTGAAAAGTGCGACTTGCGTACTTCCCTTGTTCTCCCAGATACTTCGATGTACTCCCATCGTGCTATGAAGTACGGAAGTCGCCTTTTCCCGCTTGACAAGTGATCAGATGATCTTTTTTAATTTTGAAAGAAGTGCTACGATTTTCCCAATGTAAAAAAGCGTGTTTTCAAATATGATGAATGCATTCAAATTGAGAACAACACGTGTTGTATATCTGAAGGAGCACATTTTTGGCCATTTCACACTTTGATGATACGGTTCCCTTCCGGTTAAAAATCTTTCTTGATTCTCATAGAAACTGTTTCATTACATGCTGGAATGATTTTATTGCAATGCTTTTTACGATGAACTTATTTCTATGATAATCAAATCTGTCCCGTTAACATTCTTCGTAAAAAGATCGAAGGGTACTTTCTTCGGTTCGATGAAAATGGTGCAGTTAAACGAAAATCATTCTTTTAAGCAATAGAAATAATGTTCTTTTCTGTTGTCCTTTAAATAATTAAATATTTCTTGTGGATTAAAATAATAAATTTTCGACAGCTAGAATGTCTCCTTACATTGAGGCAGAATGTAGGCTCACTGAGATTAAATTTCTCCATATCATGGTTGGTTATTCACATTGCTGACATCGAGGAACTTTTATTCATAAAACTGTTGGAAAAAAATTATAAACAAAAAAATATGCGAGATATAAATATGAGGAAGTGTCACCGACCCAGATTTGTTTGACAAACAAATTTAGATAATGTTTTTGAACAGTATCTTAATAATCTGTGTTCATATCGTATGCAACTAGACGATTAAAAGGTTGATCTTCAAATCTATACATTTCACTGGGTACTATTACTCGGACAAATGCGAGCAAAAATTAATTGTAGATGTTTTTTTTTGTATGTTCACATATATGCTTTTGGAAATCATTTCCAGCAAAATTTGTTTCAATAATGAAACCAAATAATTTAATTTCTAATGACAATCTCGAAAATTTCCACAAATTGTATTTTCATTTGAATTTCTGTGGAAGAAAGGGACAATATTTACTTTGATATTCTCTGATGTGCGCATAACTAACATATTGAGTTTGGCTACTAATATCAAAATACTTGTAAATTGATTACAGTGACCATGACAATTACAACAACGATTATCAGATCTACGCTAAAAGAATAGATTTAGAAGATTTAATTTGAAATTTGAAATTTAAAAACAGCGGTTGTTTTTGTAATGCCTCAAACGAGATAGCTAATCATTTAACTGATCTGTTGTTTTACTTGACTCACGATGAAACGTTCTTGTTCATTTGCGTTGTGTCAATGAACTTCATTTCTAATTTCAACTAAAATGTAACTGTTTTTTTTGTTGAAAATGTTCCTATTTCGATTCTCATACGAAAGTAACAATTGAGTGGTCATATGAACTATATTGTTTTTTTTCTGTGGTTTACAGTGTATCATTCAACAACCTGCTACAATAGTACGCTCAATTAAATAGCATTATTTCTTTTAAAAACTTTATATAATTTCTCTATTTATTTATGCTATTGAAAAATCACATGCTTTAGTAAGTTCAGTGGTGTCAAACTTGAAACTTCAATTCAATTGAAATTGAAATTTTCAATTGAGTTCAAGTTTGACATATATGAGATCTCACTGGGTTAGCTAATTTTTCTACTGAAATCAGTTAACGGATCGAATAATTACATAAGCTTTACTGCCATTGCTAATTTATTAGGATCGTTCATAATGTAGTGTTTTAATAATAAATAAAATGAAATGTGAAAGAAAAAGTCTATTTAAAAAAATGAAAAATTTAGCGTACGTTTGAATTATCTTCAATTAATCTATAAATTTCAATGATTGAGAAGTATATCTATGAGATTTGTATAGATTCCTGTGAATGTATATTTCTATTCGATCGATTCTCCCTTCGATAGAAAGATAAGATTTACTTCTAAAATGATAGAGTGCTAATTTTTTGTCTGCTATGGAATAAAACAACTAAGCTATAATTTAAATTCATGCTAGAAAGATGCTTATACTTAACATTATGATTCTGACAAGTCATCATAATTATTTTTATTGAACGCCAATAACCTTGTCGATAGAATCTCTCAAAATTTCTTCTACAACAAAGATAAATGAAATTTTCTATTATAATTTCGCAGGTATATCAATTCTCTATTGTTCTGATAGTACGATTTTTTAAACAGAATAACGGTTATCAAAAAAACAACTAACTAAAAGTAATTGTTAAAAAATTTTCAATTGTTTTCAATTCTATTTCTGAAAATGTACAACTACCTGTCAAAGTCTTAAATATCACATAGAAAAGTAAAGACGCATCAGTTTTTGAAAAATCAGAATTGAATCTACTCCAGTCTATAGTTCTGTTGTGGAACAAATCTATCGTTTGATCTTCGTTTCCTATCTATATTTATGTTATTTTAACAAGAAATAGCGACTAATATCGATATAAAAGACAAACAGTGATACCTAGAAATACGATCATTCATCTGTAGATATATCGTAAGTGTTCCATCGCGTCTATCAGTTGACTAAAGAAGTATTTTAACTGTAGAATTAGATGAATATCAAAATAAAATATAAATCAGCCATTTCAAACTGTGCATGTGATACGACACATATGATCATTGATAGAAATGATCTGAGTTATATTTCGAACTGGGAATTTCAAAATTGATTAACACGTAAGAGAAGGAATAAGAAAACAGAGATATGTGATCATAAGAAGCGCAATTTTTGCACCTGGACATGGCATAATCATTGTGATAATGACTATCATGGTTGTAGCTAGCTGACTTAAAATGGCAGTTCTCGTAGGAATAAACAAGTTAACAAGCTTACCGTATTATTTTGCAACGTTTTAGCAAGCATTGCAGCACCTTCATGTTGAATCTCGTTGGACGACACATTGAGTTCCGTGCATTTTTTTTGTATGATTACTCCTTTAATAATACGTTGAATATCGGCATCGGTTATATTCTGCCATAAGCAGGAAACTTCGCTGGTTTTACAGCAAGTTTGGACTTGGGAACTGATTTTGGTACTGCTGCTGCTACGGTTGTTGTTCCTTTGGGAGGGGTAGTAGCTTTCGAGATGACTGCTGGAGAACTCGAGGATGTAATAGAAGCTTGTTTGAAAATCGAGGCATGACTTCTTTGAGTTGAACCATGGTAAGTTTATTATCCATGCCCATCGATGACATAATTTCAAATTCTCGACCACGTAGAAGAAGTATGTCATCTTCATTTTGATAGAACGAATTTTGACGAATATCTTCGCCTGTGTCGCATTCGATAGCAAATAAAGTTCGTGATTCACTCTTTCCGAAGAAGGCGCCATTTCCAAGAACTCCAACTGTTCTTGTACACGATGAAAATCCCCATCAAACGATGCGTGTACCTTCCTTACATCTTTCTCGTAAATCTAACCTGACTCCTCGATAGATCGTTCGACGACCAGTCGGTGGAAGCTTTGAAAGAGCCGTTAGAAAAAGTTTTAAAAAGCTGTGCCAACATGGTAGCAACGCTTCTCGATTTGCATTGCGCAGTGTACCATGTAATACGATATAGAATGAGTCTTTTCGCGGCGACCATTCCATTGAGTACAATGCAATGGAAGAAGACTCATCAATAGTTAAACCATTATTTGGTTGAATACGATTTTCTTGGATGATAAATACCATATGTTCAATTTCGGGAATTTGAGATAATAGAGGCTGTGTAGCCTCTTCGAGAGACACGAGTGGCATATTTTCGAATCCCCGTAAAGGTGGTAGCCTTCGCATGAGCTCTTTGTCTACATCACAAGAGCTACATATCAACATAAAAAACTTCTCTTTTATTTTCTTTCGTAAGAAGAAAATTCACACAGGAATTAGACACTAATCAAGTAGTGATTCTGTTTAGTTGCTATCCCTTATTTACAGCAAAACTTGTTTTTCGAAAAAAAAGTATTTGTGAGGACATTTTTTTGAAGTATTATGTCTTTATTTTTAATTGGACTTCTGATTATTGCACGGCTTCCTCGTCATTTTGGTTCTCTGAATCATTTTAGAAAAAGAAAATGGCCAAATAGGCAAATGCATCACCATTGCATTATTCGATAGCTTTATGCGACTCTAGTATAGATCAATGATTGATACTATTGTCTACCTTATATTTCAACTCATTATTGTATTTATTTAAAAAAAAATATGCAGTCGAATCTTATTTTAGAATAGGCATAGGCTTGATGATATTTCTTACCGTCAATTTAAAGATGAAAATGGAACAATAAAATGTTGTTTGCTTCAATTACCTAGCTTTATGTATTGAAGAAAATGGGAAGCAGTTTTTTGTTTGTTTTTCAAGCAACAAGAATTTTCTATTTGCTCAAGGCAACCGCAATCAAGTTCGTTAAAACAAGGAGAGAAACAATGCAGAGAGAAAACCTTCAAATCACAACAGCAAACTCTTATTGTCCCAAACAAAACAATGGCGAGATGTTCCTATTAACCACAGAAATTATCTCGTGAGATGCTAAACTAATATATTAGAGAGTTCGCTCTTGGGTGTTTGAGTAAATTAATTTGGAAGAAGCTAAAAATTCACTTTCAAAACACGTACAAGTTAAAGTAAAAAGATAATCAACATCAAGCTCAAGCATTTATTCATAATTCTACAAAATATATTACTATGGAGATTATTTTTATTAACAAATTATTGAGAGATAAGAAACATTTTGTTGATACATGGTATTTTCTTTTCGTTGTTACACTTTTTATACGAGCTTCTCTTTAATATTTATCTAGCGCCATCACAGTATAAGACGTGACTACAGCTTTCGAAAAAAAGATGGATTCATTATATATTTATTAGTAATAATCTCGACGAACAGCGACAACTATGGATCAAAGCGTGACATCTGCATAAGATTGATATAGTATGGACTGGATTTAGAGTCATTTTACACATACGATCATTTTAATTCATTGCTTGACATTTCTCGATTATCCCTGTTAAAAATCAATGTAAACTTTTTTACTATATTAGCCTTAGGTAAGTTAGATTATGTTTTTCCTCAAAAAATGATGTTACTCATAGAATTAGTATTGCAATCGAGTAGAAAAATAAATGTATTTTACAAATCGTTTCGGTCGAATAATTTTTTCATATGTTCGAAAATGGTATTGTGTATATTTTGAAACGCTTTGTTTTCTTGAGATAAGCTATATGATCGACACATTTCGAAATGAATACAACTTTACAACTATTTTATTCTACCTAATAAAAATTTCTCATTCATTTTTATCGAACTCTAATGTTTGTATTTACTATTTTGCTTTTCGCTTATTAATTTTGAATCCCATATAGATTTTCTCGGGCATTGAGCCAAATAAAAAACACGAATTGGCCGTGTCCCAAACTCACTAATGCCAAACGGAAATAGGAACATTCATATATAATTTTTTTCTTGCTTCTGTTCTGTACATTTTTTTTTCTTCTTCAAAGAAGAACTATGTGGTACTTTTGCCTTGTCACTTTGCGAAGCAGCACATTGATTCCTATTTGATTTGTGTGCTCAGTAGATGTGCTGACGTGACAAAAGCGAGAGAGAATGAGCAAAACTTTCGATTTACTTTGCGTATTTCATAAACAGACTAGTTAAAGTCATTTTATTGAAAATAATTTTAACAAACGTAAAGAAATAGCTGAATTATCTTTATTTGTTATTTTTGTGTAGGGTATTGATCGAATAAGAAAAATAAATTAGGTAAATATTTTTTTAAACACATCATCTAAATCCGATGCTATGTAAAGATGGAAAAAAACCTTAAAGGTTCCTGCATAATTTCTATTACTGACTTATTTTCAATACATAGAATAAAAGAAAAAAGAAATGCATTTTGAGATTTCTCTTTACTTCTACTTCAATTTGTTGTTTTTCTGTTTTTTTTTTCGCTTCTAGCGGAAAAGACATATACGTGCACGTCGCAGGAAAAAAGAGCCCTATTTATTGTCAGAGCGCACACACATTTGAGATGTTCGCTTCATTGAATGTTCGTCCATCATATAAATATTTTTTAAGTGGCACAAACTCGTCATTCTCTATTGATATTATACATTGGTACGAGAAAAAGGACAAATTCATTCGTTTATTGATTTTTATTATTTCATAGGAAAATATATTTCTACTTAGATAGGATTCGGTGAGAAATAAACACTTAAAATCTCCTCTCGGATTTCTAATCCTTGTTCTTTCTGCGCCTCTTTTTTTGGCAAAGAGAAAATTCGACCCTGGTTTTATTGCGTCATTCGTTTTGCTCATTGTAGTGTTTTGCTATGCTTCTTTCTATACACATAAATAGTAATTTGACGAAGTTAACCTTCATACTATGGACAATTGATAAGAACATTAGAATATTTTTTGTTATTATACGACATCTCTTTCCTTCTTCTTTTTTATTCCTTTTTTCTCTCTTATTCTAGTGTCAATACCTACCCGATTAACATCGTGATGAGTAAGAAGAAGAAAAAAAGAAGAGGCTCTATATGTCTACTTGTTGAATAGATAGACGAAGCGCGGTGTTTTTGTTGTTCCTTGTGTGTGTGTGTGTTGGTCTGTCGGTTCACAATCAGAGAGAAGAAAAAAACGGCACACCGATCGAAACTGTACGAGACTCATATGTATGAGAAAAAAGGAAAAAAAGAAAGCGCAAAAGAGAGTCTAATCTGCCACAAAGAGACAATGTAAATAAAAGTATAGCGCTTTATATTTGGCGAGTAAAACGGAGAGAGAGAGAGAGAGAGAGAGACAGAAAACAATGAATTGTCTATTATAAACGCGTGCACTGTGCATCCCATTCTATTTTTTTTAGCGACTTTTGACTGTCTGACGTTTATTCTTATTTTTAAAGATCATGACGACCGTTACAAGTGGCAATTCATTGAACAATAATCGCAGTAGTAATAATACATCACCTGCTTCATTTAATCTAGCAGAAGAACCAACACCAATAATAACATCACCGCCGCTATCAGCATCATTGCCTTCTTCCTCTTCGTTAACATCATCTCGGGATCGATGCCGTCGTTGTCAACAACTTGTCTATTGTACAGAACGCATTGGTCCTGTTAAAGATGCTCTTTATCATAAATTATGTTTTAAATGTTTAAAATGTGATCGCCAATTAGATTTTAAAACCTATTTTACAAATTCAATTGATTTGAACGATAAAGAAATTTATTGTCAAAGTCATGTGCCTCGATCTGGTAAAGGTGTTTTTTCAACGGAAAATATTCACATACAAAATGTTATGAAAGCACCGAAATTAAATGTCATGCAAAAACTTGATGATCGTCATACCGTTAGTTTCATTGAACACAGCTGGTTCCTTAGAACGATTTCGTTTTTCTCTCTCTAGGGTATTCATTTGGATTCTCACTCGGTTTCAATTGTGCATGCTATGAAAGCGCAACAAATGTTTCAGCAAGGTCGTGAAAAAGTTTCTGCTATACACAAATTTCCAGCATTACCACCAGTATGAATACAAAAAGAAATCGATAATGTTTGTGTTAATCTATTTTTTGTTGTTGCTCAGGATATGATAAGAGCACGCGAAGAAGTACGTCGTGCTCAAAAATCTTTAGAAGAAAAACAACGTCAAGAAGAAGATCAATTGTTTATGAAATTTCGAAATGCTCGTGAAATAGAAGAGAAAAAAATTGAACGAGAAGTAACCGATGAATGGGAAAAGAGATTACAAATGCTTACAGCCAAATATGAAGAAGATTTGCAACGGAAAAAAGATAAAATTATTGAGCCTGTACGTGTATTTCGTTTAGGTTTTTTATTTATTTTCGAATGAATATTTTTTAAGGAATTAACACTTCGGTTTTCAAAAGAAAAAGCTGAACTTGAACGAAATATGACATTGAAACGAGATAAAAAACGAGAAATGGCTCGAAAACAATTAATGGAAAAAGAACAAGAAACAACACATTCACTCGTTTCAAAATTTAGTAAAGAAATGATCACTCTAATACAAGAAAAAGAACTAGCAGTACTTGTAAGTATATATATATATATATGTTTGTGTTAACCCATCCGTGCTCCTATTCGTTGAAAAGCAACAAAGCGGCTTATTGTAGAATTTTTGATTGCTTAAATCCTATGTTGATTTGCTCTGATAAAACCGAAGCAAACAGTATTTTTTTAATGTTAATGTTAAGAAAGAGTGCTAAAAAGTGACAAGAGACACGCAATACAAAGATCAATATTAACAAAGATACTTGTACTGTCTTCAAGTATTTTGATGAATGAATATGTCAATAAAGCACGAAAAAGAAAACTTTTATGGTTATTGTCGTTGTATATTAGTCTTTATGACAGTAATTCTTCGATATCAGAAAAAAAGAAAGAAGTCCAAAATGACGAGAAACGTTTAAAACGCTCGTGAAATATGGCTTCTTTCAAGCAATCATTTGGAGATTTTAACAGATAATCTCACCATTGATTCGAAAGAAGAAAAAACATTCCGTAAACAACACTTGACCTTCTGATATATTTCGTTTCTATTTATCTTATTAAAAGAAAACTTGATTAAGCAAGAGTCGACCTTGAACGAATACTTTCTTGGATTCTTTTAACAGAAAAAAAAATTTTAATATCTGAAAAAATCAGTAATCAATTTTTTTCCAAAACGTAGACAGAAAATGGTGTTGATGATCATCGAGCAATAACGTTGCTTCTGCAACCTCCACCACCTCAACCTCCGCGTCGTCGTAAACGTGATCTATATGAAGATCCATCCGTATTTGAACATGTCGATCAACAAGCGATTGCAGTTGCTGAAAGTGAACAAACATCTTATACAGAATTAGTCGATCAACTAACATATGGTTTATTAACAGATTTAGAAAAATCAAGGTAAATTTAAAATTTTCTATTGTCGAATTATTCGCAAAGAAACATTTAGTTGATTAAGAATTTCCTATGTGAGTATATGAAATCATGCATGAAAATGAATTTATTCCCGCCATTTTTTGTATATGTTTCGTGGTACTTTCTGCTATGTATTTTTGCAGCACAGGGTTACAACACTCAAGACGAAATCTAAAATCGGCCACAGAATCATTATTTCTATTTATCTAGGGCAATATTCCGGTGGATTACTGTAAAAGATTTAAATGCTATTGATTTTCAAAATAATCTCGCTGCCGATACACCTATGGGTTTATTACGTGGGATAAAATATGGTACAGAAACTTATCATACATTATTCATGCGTCTATGCAGGTAGAAATTTAGAAGAAGAAAAAAATTTATCAATCGTAAAGTTTACTTTTGTCTGATTAGTTTTGCTGCGTTACACTGCGTGGATGTGAAAGGTCATTCGAAAAGTGTTGGCTACGAACCAGGTATGCGTATTGGCGAAGGAAAATTTACCAATACATGGAATGCTGTTGTCATTGATGGTGAATGGAGATTTGTTCAATGTAATTGGGGCGCTAGGTAAGAGAAACTTTTTATTTTCTGATTTTATGCAAGGGTTCGATTTTATTCTTATAGACATTTAGTAATGAGTAAAGATAAAAAGGAAGCAGATATAGCACCACCAAAACCAACAAGAGAAAAGATCAAATATCAAGTAAAATGTTTTGAAAAACGAAATTAAAATTTTATATACGTATGATTATTTTAGTACGATGAACATTATTTTCTACCTGATCCAGACGATTTTATTCTTGAATTTTTTCCATATAAAAACGATTGGCAATTACTTGAATCGCCCATAACATTACAACAATTCGAACAATTGCCTTTCGTTCGTTCACTATTTTTTCATTATCATCTATCATTTGTTAATCAACAACACGCAATCATACAGACTGACAATCGTGGTGCATGCGATATTAAATTACGTATGCCGGATTCGCTGAAGCAACGTTTAGCGTTTCATTTTCATTTACGTTTTTCAAATACTGGACAAACAGAAGATTCAAATGATTTTCAAGGCATTAAACTTGAACGTTATGTATTGCATACAATACAAGATGATCTCGTGTCATTTAATATTCATCTACCACAAGAAGGAGATTATTTTATAGAAATTTTTGCATCACTTGTCGTAAGTTTTTCGTACGAACTAAAATCGTTGAACAATTCAAAATTATTTCCGAAGAGATATCAGAATTACAAAGCCAAAGAGTCACTCTACTGTCTAAGCTTCAACACATTTTCGGCTATTTCATGTTCGATTCATTCGTGAGCATAATCCCGTATTGTGCGTATTTTTCGTAAATATGAGCAATCAATCATAAATTGAAACAACAGAAAGGCAGTTGTGCTCGCACAATCCCTTCGGGATTAAAATGTAAAACATGATGTATAGTTACCCCTACTAATCACAGGAAGATTGTATCTAGTTTGACACATGTTTTTACTTAATCCTTACGAAAAAATACAATAATGAGGGATAGCCTAGTTCAAAGGTTCGTGCGTCTATTTCAAGTAGAAAAATACAATTTGATTTTTCTTTTCCAGGAACCTGATCCAAATCCATTTGGACAAAGTTTTAAATTAAAATGTGTGTGTAAATATCGTATCGTATGTAAAGAATTAACTCAAAGAATGGTAAATTTAAAAATTGACTATTTTTAAATTGCATAGTTGTTTTTTATTTTTCATTAGCATGCTCTTCCAACTTGTGCATCAGGTGAATGGGGTCCAGCAAAAGCTATACGTCATTTTAATATTCATCCTTTGACACACTTCCAAGCTATTTTTGAAACAAATCATTTACCAGTTATTGTTAAATTTAAATGTCCAAAATTACTTAAATTTCATGCAAAACTCAATTCCAATCAATATCCATCCACTAGTAGCGATACCAATGCATTGTCGAATACATCAACATCATCAAATACTCTTGATAAATATGTTAAATATGACTATGATGAACACGATTTTATTGTCTCATTTATTATTCAACTACCAAGCGAAGGACAATATGGTATTGATTTATATGCACGTGATCCAGAATATCAAACAGAAAAGCGAACGATGTCACATTGTTGCAAATATATTATCAATTATTCGAAATCACCGATGACTGCGACAGCACCTAATAATAATAATAATAATAATAATAAGAATCCTCATACATATAGTGATTATTCATTTGATCGTACAAAATCAAATGGACAACAGAAACTTATTTCACCGCGTGTCAGTTCTGTTTTAATTCAACCAGAACAAACTCGTTCACCGCGTAAGTTTCATTGGCAAACGTGTTGATCTGAAGTCTACTTGTGAGCATTAGATTACAGTAGACAATAATGAAATCTGACTAATTAAATTATAGAAACAATGAATAATAATAAAAATATTATATTTTTATAAAAGCTTGATCATAATTAATGAATATTAATTTTATTATCCTACACGACAAACATCCTATTTAAGAGCAAAAAAAGGAAACCACTTTTTGCTGTTGTTTAGTTTCGTCCGTTGAGTTTGATTATACAATGTTTACATAAAAAATCAAGGATTTAGATAGCCTGACTAATGTACATAGAGGAAACAAAATCTACCGGATTTTCCCTGGAGCAAAGATAAAAGCATGAGAAATTTTTTCCGACCGTTAAAATGTATAAAATAAACTATTGTCTGTTTATTTACATAATAGAAAGATTTAAAAGCAGACAAGCTTTGTTTCTCGATCAACTGTTCTTTGATATTTTTGTTTCTCTATATTATATATATATATATATGGAGAGAGAGAAAGAGAGCGAAAGAGAGAGCAATGATAGTAGATGAGAATATATTTGGATTTAATAATAAATTCTTGTAATTTCATCTGTAGAAAATGAAAGTGACTTGGGAGTATAGCTTCAACTTGCCGGTAGATTTTCCATTCGGGTCAATATACATCAATCATGGAACATCGGATGTGTGAATAAAAAAAACGACTCCATTCATTGTCTTCATACGCAGAAAAAAGCCTCTTACTAAACTCTCAGGTTTTCCTAGTTGCGATTCATATATAAATAATTAAGTGGTTTCTTTGAATGCAAAATAACGATGCCCATTGTTCGCTCGTCTAATAAAATAAATAACTAAACACCATAATTTTTTTATTCTCCTCGCTAAAAATCTGCCGTATTTGATAAATACCACTTTCAACTTGCTCGTAATGAATTAAATAATTAATATGCTTTTTCAAGGTTCATCATCAACATCACGAGACATGAAGAGTTCAGGAAATTCTCCTTCAATCCCAATGCCTAAAATAGGCGGAAACTCAAGTTTACTTTCTCAGTTCGGCATGACTCCCATCAGTCATTCTGATCCATCAATAACACTTCATTCAACAAATTCTGTTGAATTACAATTTCAAATTTGTAAAATGGTTGATTTTTCATTCGACCTTATATATCATCAAACATTATCTGATCTTTCATCACGTACACCATTAAACAATTTAAACCAACGTTTAAATGCATCAGATTATGTGACTATTAAACCGAATGGTGGTTTTAATGTTATATTTGCATTAAATTTACCTAAACCAGGTGTTTATACATTTACAATATATGCTGCAACAATAAACCCTCGAAATGATGTACAATTAAATACAAATGGACATACAGATTTACCAGCTGTGTATACTTATTTACTTCGATATGTTTAGAATATATCTTGTATGTGTCTTCTTCTTCTTCTCTTCCATTTCTCATTGTTTTTACGCTGGTGTCAACAACAAACAGTTGTCGAATTTTTTTGTTTTGTTTTTAGTATGTTGACTTTTCTTTTACTGAAAAAGAATACTCAATTTTGTCTGTGTTTTTTTTTTGTATAACATTTCCGGAACTTTAGAGTGATGTGTCTGCGTGAATGTATACTCGTCACTATTAAGAAGTTTTCCTTTATGGCCTTGTTGTGTTGGTGGTTCCTTCTTTTTTTTTCTTATTTATATATTTTTTTCTCTCTTTATACTTTTGTGCACATCGATCGGCGCGGTCGATCGGCTGATCATTCATTCGTTCAGTTTCTTCTTTTTTTTCCCGTTTGATGATAATAATATCGCAATATGCACGATCGAATAAAAAGTGTTACTTCGGTAATGGTTCAATGACGAGTACATGTTACGTAGTTATACGTTGATAGAGATGTTGTATGTTCAAAGGATGATACATTTCCCTAGATATTTCTTCTTTCTAATTGAATTTAGAGTATCTCGTTCAGGTAAGTCAGTTCACCTGTTTGCTTCGGTGATAGACAGATTGAAATCTGAAGAAACGTCAGAGTGGATAATATCCTATGTCCAGTCGGAGATCAGTGTCATTTGAGTTTGTTTTTTTCTTCCTTCTATATACATATGAGAATAATAAACAGCTAGACACGATAAACATTGTAAATAAGGTTTCATTGGCACGCGTCAAATGACCTTCAGTCAACATACACGAATTTCTCGTGTCTTTATTCTTACTTTCTTCTACCCATTGTATTTTAAGTTATTATTATTGCCGTCTCATCATACCATAATCTGCTGTCGTTTGTTCGTTCGATTGATTGACTGCGAAAGTAATTGTGTTGAATGAATGCGCCTGAAGGGTTACTAGACGCCGACTCTTTTTAAACTAAAATCAGTCTTGCGGAAGGCTTTCTTCGTATATATCTAGATGTGTTTCATTTCACTAACTTCTATTGTCTGCACTACTCACATGCACACTTTGATCATTAACAATTTAGTTGTGTTGATCTCTTATCGACAAAAACACAAAACATACATGTACAATCACACACACAAAAAAAAGATATCAAACAACGGTGTTCATTGACGTGCGAATAGTAGAGAAAAAGAGATCGATTTCACTAATATAAATATAAATCAATATGTGTATATAGACATTTATAGATAAATGCTGCATACTGGGCTAGTATCAAGTTCGTCACTAGAAGGAGGCAGACTTCCGCATTATTATTAGAAGCAATAAGAAATAGAAAATACTAATTTCTCACGCATATGAGACTAAAGAGCTCTTACATCATGGCCATCGTTTCCTTCTATCATCCCTATTGACCTTACAGGATTGAGAAACTATATTCTAGTTACTAGTATTCTTACAAGCAGAAAAGAGGAAAAGTCATCCAATTGGAACGGCGATTCTTATATGTCATAAATATGATTGATGCTCTCGGGAGTCTCTTACATGCGTCCAAGTATGTAGCACTGTATATATATATATATATATTTGTTGAATCCTTGACACTAGAGAAATAAGAAAGAAAGAGAAACTAATTCAGTGTGTATGGAGTAATACACATTAAAGATGATGCGAATAGGTCAAAGTCGAGTGATTTATTCGGGTGCAGAAGAGCCCTGGGCGTGGTCTACACTGACGACATATACATATAAACATACAACCAAATTCAATTATTGGCAAGAGATTATCATACTTAGTTCTCGTCGTCGTCGTCATCATCATCATCATCATCATCATTTTCTTCTTCTTCGTTTTTTCTTGCACTAACATAATGACTGCTAGGACATCAAACATGATGCAATCAAAGGGTCAAGAGACCGATTACTGTCCAACACACGTTTATTCGATTAACATCGAAAATGTTCGTTGACTTTTTTCTTCTCACCGACCTTTTACCGATTCGTTCATCTAGATTATTTCTTTGAACTTATCAAAAAGTTAAAGTGATTGTCACACAACAACAACAAAAATAATAATAATATACAGGTTAGAGTTTCCTTATCTAATTGAATGTAAACAATGAATGTATATGGGTGTGGGCGCTTCTTTTTTTTCTTGTTAGTTAAAGCTTTATTGAGCCTATTCATGAAATTTCCCGTCTCCGCTTCGGAAGGAGCCAATTTTTAAAACTTCCGTTTGTTGAACGGCGCACATGCACAATGTCTTTTCGGATCACGAGACACAGCGGGATGTGTCTGTTGCTGTCTTAGTGTGTCACTTTTTATTTATTTCAAGTGTATATATACATATACAGAAAAACTTCTTCTGTCCCCACGTCTTTTATCAATTGAACGGGAGGCGCGCACGTCCGGGCGGCTATCTTTGGCCTCATTGTGTTTCATTTTTGATAGAATAAATACAAACACAACAAAAAAAAGACTCGAAAATATTTGATCTATTCGTATAGATAGTAGTAGTAGAAGAAGAAGAAGAAGAAGAAGGGACACAGAACAGGAGGGGGAAGAAAGTGTTCAATGTCTTTTTCTTTCTCCTCCTCTTTCGTCCACTTGAGAAGTAGCGACGACTACTACTGCTGCTGCTGCTGCTGCTCAATGTTGTATGAACAGAAGAAAAGAATGAAGATCTGTCATAACAGGTGAATAAAGTAAGTAATGGAAGAAATTCTACCGACAACGTATATATACGGTAATAGTGACAGCAAAATTAATGTCCAATGACACTAAGTTTGCGCGAATAGGCGACCTATAGACAAAGAAGAAAAGGAAACCGTTTCATACACTTGATCGAGTTTTGCGTGCAGCAAGCAAATGAGAGAAGAAGAAAAAATTAGCACTTCAATGAATAGGCGTTGTTCTTAACAGAAGGCCAAACTTCGATGAGTACCACTAAGATCGATTGTCGATGAACTAACTTTGGTTTTGTACGCTTATTACTATTTCTTCATGCATAGTTGAGTATAGCCACGTAATGAACGATATATGTGCTACGCTCAATCATTTTCTTCTCTATACGAAATGTGCATGCGTCGCCTACTCAGTTTTTTTTTACATAAACACTGAGATTTCTATTTCATATGAACCGACACTGTTCTATTGCCTCGAGATATTTTAAGATCATATGATGTCATTGCTCTAATGATCAGTAAACACAAACTTTTTATCGGTCACTATTACTATTCGTCACTTCTATCTATTAGAATATTAACAAAAAGAATGCTCATCATCGTAGCATGTATGTATACGAAACTAGCATTTTGTCGTTTCCGATGGCAGTTGCTGTGTACAGTAGCATTGGCACAAAAAGATGAGCGTGCGCCCTTCCGTGTCACAAAATCAAATTTTGGAACATGCTATGTCATAGAACTAATAGAAAAGCGGAATAGAAAAAAAAATCGTTTGTTTTTTTACGATTCGATAAACGTCATTTGTGTCTATTCTTTTTTTTTTCTCTCTCTCTCTTTCTGCTGCTGTATTGAAATCAATTATTCTTACTCCATCAATCATTTGAATTTTTTTCTTTGTCCCTTACAATATATACACATATATATCAATCAGTTATGAAATGCAAATAAACCATTATTAACTTTTATATGACACAATTCTTGAGATGTAAAGTAAACGCTCATGGACAAAACTTTTGAACAAGTAAAGTAACATTTTCTTTTTCTTTTTTTCTTTTACTTCACCCTATCGTCGAACAAAAAAAGACCTCAGTTTTGACATGTATAAATCAACTTAAATTTATTCTGTATACATATATATATATATATATATATATGAGACAGAATACCTAGAAGTTAAAAGTTTTTTAGCACGTATCTGCATTAAAGTAGTCCGTGTAAATATGACCTGAAGATGATGATAATGATTGTTAGTTATTTTTAAGTCGTACAGTAATGTCCACGTGTAGTTGCATGACATAGACGATATATACATATGTCGTGTGTGTACTACTAGGGTTTCTCGGGTGTGCATGTTTCTTTATCGTCACCGCCACGGTCACTATTCGACTATTGACCATTACTATTGTATGACGCATGGGAAGTAATTCAGTTTCATTCATTTTTAATCAATTTGTAAATAGGCGAGAGCAAGCTCGTCTTCTCCGGAGGGGTAGTTAGTAGTTGGCTATCCTCATCTGTACATATTTCTCAGTAGCGTATGTATGTTCTTCTAATTACTATTGTATAGTATCCATTGCGTGCGTGTCATAGAACAAAAGAGAGAAGACGATTCTAGTATACTATATATGTACACATATTTCACCGCCCTCTTCAATTAGTGATTTCAATGTTGTTAGTTTCATCAAACCGAGAAGAAGAAAAAAAAGGAAAAGAAATTGATCGGAAGATTATGATGTAAGACAGTACTTTTGCGAACGATACAATAAATGAGAGAAATTATTATAACCTGAAATGTTGGATAATGAATGCATACTACGTATCAGATGTTATTCATACATCGGTGTCAAAAATATCATTATTAAACAAACAATACAACAAAAAAATATATACATATATATATATATCTATAATTGTATCTGTTTTATTTCAGAATATATTTATCGACGAATATAAACGAAAAATAAAAATCAACGAAAATGAATTCTCATCAACGACTATTATTTATCATTTGGTTATTATTTCTATCGATTGATATTATCTATGGTAAGTGTTGATAATTGATTTATGATTAACAGTAAAAGACAAGAACAAAAAAAAAAGAAAAAGGAGTCTATCATGCGAAAGTGACTCCCACGGGGATACCGATTAATATATATTTTGAAGCAAAATAAAATAAAATAGTAGACCATGCGAATGAAATTTAATTGAATAATTTATAGTTTTTATAATAAACAAAAAAGATGTCTGTCAAGCTGAATTAGCTTGCTTAAGAATAATCTGTCGGTAAATATAAGGATTTCAATTATCTCATTCAAATATCACTCGCAGCTATAGATAAACGCAACTGATGATTGTATTGTTATTTAAAGGGGTAAACGAAAGAATAGATCTATTTGATTTGACTAATGATGATAAGATAGAGATTTTGTATATATTCAAGGGAAGGAACTCCGGTTAATAGACTTCAATAAACATTTTTTGATACTAATTGTTAATATGATGAATGTTATAATAATAATAATAATAATTAGAATAATCAGAATAGAAATGGATGGTTTCTATTAAATTGATATTTAATTTTAGCCGATAGACGACCGCATGCAAAACGTGTAACAGCTGAACATGGCTCTGATTTATCTCTTTCGTGTACATTTCAAGAAGAAGACAGCGACAAAACTGTAAGAAAAACAAAATTCATATTTTTGATTGAAAATTTTCTCTTTTTCTTTTTTTTAAAGCTTGTTCAATGGCTTTATCAAAATTTTACTGAATCTAATCTTAGTCATCGTGCACATAAAACACATTGGCGACCATTATTTCTCAACGCTCAATCGTTAACACCGACTGAAACACGTTACAGTATTCAACAAAAAATTCAACAAATTAATGACACATCTATCGCTTATTCAACAATATTAACATTATCGAAAGTAAATGAATCTGACGAGGGTCTGTACATGTGTAAATCACTCTCACCGAAAACTATACAAATGGCTTATCAAGTTCGCGTGATACGTAAGTTTAATAATTAGAAGAAGAAAATTTACTTTGTGTTTTGTTTTAGAAAGTCTTGATATCAGCCCAAAAGAAGTGTTAATATCAACGGATGCAATTGGTCAATCGTCTATTAGTCTAAATTGTATATTAACAGATAGCCATATTGATCAACGTCCACATGATATTCATTGGTGGCATAACAATAAACGACTGAATGCAAATTCGAATCGACTTACACGTATTATAAAGAATTTTACTCAACATCAATTTATATCGACATTATTCTATACGGACGAACCAGCTAATATGGCTGGAATTTATATATGTGAATCAGATCCATTAAGAAAATATATTTCAGTTGAATTAAAATCAAATAGAAGTTCAGGTATTAATAAAAAAATAAATAAAGAAAATTTTTGATTTTAAAATAAATCTAATTTATTGTTGTTCTTTTTAGATTTATTCATCAGTGCATATTTAATGTTGATCATAGAAATTTTCTTATTGATATTTCAACGATAGAATATTTATAGACATTAGAAAATGTACCGGTGAAATTTTTTCTTCGTTTTCGTTTACCTTAAAATTTTGAAAATAGTTGTTACTGTGTGTATTCAGTATTTTTTATTGTTTCATTCAGTTTTTCTTTTGTAGTTTGAAAAAAATAATAAGAAGAAAGAAATTAAGAATAAAAACCGAAGCGCCTTGCCATATTTAATTCGAAATGAGAAAGGACTCGAAATAGACTTTGTAAAAAAAATTTCTAACAACCTTATTCTTTTTCTTATTTCCTATGTATTTCAATTGTTTTTCGATAAGATTGTAAAGCTATTTATAAAAATCAAAATGTATTTCTATCAAGATTTATTAAATACAGATGATCAATTAGGAGATTTATTTTTTGTCCTCTTTATGGTTTTATTGAAATATTGCTGTTAGAGTTGAAAAACACCAAAATTAGGAAAGACAATTGAACAACTGTCGAAATTATTATCTTTATAATTTTGATGTTAGCAATAGATCTTTACATGTGGTTTCAGATTGAATAAAGATTTAATTTATTTCTACTGAATCTCTAGTTGTCGAAAAACGAATTGGAATAAGCTATTTACAATTTTTTTCAATTTATAACTGCGTTGAGCCTCTAGAATAGAAATTTATACATGTAGGATGGCCGAATGTGGAATCAATATTCAACTCACGCTACGCCCATTCTGTTCAATCAGCATTGTTTTATTAATGTGAATATAATTTATTGTATCTTTTAACACAATTAATTTCAATGGAATAATTTTTCGACCATGAAAGGTTTCACTCGAGAAAAGTTTATTTTGATATAAATTGCATGTGATTATTTTCGTCGAAAAACAATGAAATAAAGGATTCTGTTTCATTTTTTTGTGGTCCATAGTTGTTGACACTATGCTCTTAGGAGTATAAATCGTTTTTTTTGTTGTTTAACTATTTGTGCTTGTATTTTATGACGAAGGCAAAATATAAAAATTATTATGTTTTAATTCACTAGTATTTCAGTAAGTCGAGTGTTCAACTTACGAGAATATTCGCAGAACAAAGTTTTATCCCTAGAACAATTTCTTTTATTTAACTGAAGAGAAAAGAGAACCGCAACCAGACATGGACAGCTCCGATCCTTTCGCACTCCACTCCGACTCCTCTCCAGGCTAGAAAATTTCGCTCCGGCTCCGCTTTAACGAAAAAGTCGTTTTTCCTATTTTTCTTGAAGTTAGATGATATTCAATGAATTTCACGTTTCACTTCAGCATACACACACACTTATCAATACATTTAACAAAAAATGAATCGCCAATACATTTAAGTTACCTTGATTACAGCATGAAAATTATTTCTGATGATAAATAGACTAGTGCACTATAATAATAGTCGATTGCATTTTAGTAAAGTTAACATTGAGAATATATTCTTAGAGAATTGATGTGGGTTTAGTTTAGGTCAAGATGAGATAAAAATCAAGACCCACTCCCTAGTTTGTTCCTTCAACTGTCAGTTGAATGAAAAATGTTGTTCTCTTCGATCATTAGTCAAATCTTTCACATTTTATTTGCTTTAGTTTTCTCTCTTCGTCGGCGTCGTGTTCGTACATTCTCTAACTAACAATAGCGAAGTCCAGTCAGCCATAGAAAAATCAACTAAATGAGAGATCAGTCATTATCTCAAGCGTTGTCAGTGATTAGAATACAGCAATGGCATATTCATTACATTGAATACTAGACGACGAGCTTTTCTTTCACTAAGTCCCCCGTCTTCGTTCACAGAAGAAAACCAATGTAAAAATGTTACGGATAAAAAAGGATTAAAATTTGATGAACTAAATTGATTATGATTCATGCAGATCGATGAGTATCAGCTGAAGATTTTTTATGAATCATCAGCAAAATTAAATAAAATCGATTTTTTTTATCAAGTTTTAATCAATTACAATCGAAATTAATCGGAAAAGGAGCGTATGGTTGGAGCTAAGCAGAAAAAGGCCGCTCCGACTAGACTAGAGCCCGTCGGGTCCTACCCGGACCCGGATCCGGGTTCGGGTATGAAAAATAATTTCAGCCGGGTCCGGATCCGGGTCCGGGTCTAATTGAAAAATGTTTACTCATCGAGTGCGGATGCAAAGAGAAAGTTTCATACAAAAAATATAGTTTTGATCGTTAATTTCAATGTGTGATCTTTTTATTAAAAGCATCGAATTTACTGATGAATATAATACAAAAAAAAATAACAAAACACTTCGTGACTATAATATTTAAACCTGATTTACATCAAAACTATAAATTTAAAAATATATTATCTAGCTCTTTACTGTCATGCATATGTTCAATATCATACAAAACATCATCATCGTCATCATTCTTTTTGATGTTGGTGATGAAGTAGCAGTGCCTACATCTTCAATGATTACGACTGATTCATCATCAAGTATAGACAGTCCTTGCTTTGGCTGTTCTTCAGTCTTATTTAATTTCTTTTTTTTTTATTTCTTTCAAAGTAAATAAATGTGTTTTTAGAAACAGTGACTTGTCGAGTTTTTCTTCGTCTAAACTAGTTCTTCGATCAGTTACAATGTTTTTTGATGCTGAGAATAACCGCTCTACGATGGTATTCGAAGCAGGTATTGCATATAGATCACGTACAATTTAAGATAAGGTTGGAAATGATTTTTCATGATTCTTCCAAAATAAAAGGATATCGTCGCTTTCTTCATCCGGTACAATCAATTCCATGTAGTCATTTAATTCCTTTACTGGTGTCGTAACTGAACTGATTATTGGTCGTGGTTTATCAAAACAACAAGTTAATAGGTTATTCGGATTAGCTGGTGGTGTTGAATCATTTATAATTGATACATTAGTAGTCACTGCTTTTGAAGCGGTATCCGTTGTAATACGTGATATTGATGTACGTGGTAATAATTCTCGTTTAACTAAATCAAACGCTATATCTTTTTCATGTAGTACTGCATCAAAGCGTTTTAGACGAGGATGAAGAAAAGTACAAATAAAATGCTGATCTTGTGAAATCCCAATAGATTTTATACGTTCACCTAAAATAATATAAAGTTCTCTTTTAAAAATTAGATTTAAATTTCCCTCTTTAAGAAATATAAAATAGATCCCTTCATATTATATGATTTTGAAAGACAACAAATCCTGATGTTATTAAGCTTCATTTTAAATAAGTCAGCTGGTCATCTGCTTTTTCAGTAGAAAAATTTTGATATTCACTTACCAAGAAAAAGCTTTAGTTCTTTTAGTTCAGATCTATCTTCGAATTTAACTTCGCAATGATCAATTAATAATTGACGAATTTCAAGAACTTGGTGCATAGTCGACCTTTCTTCTACACTTAATTGATCAATAGCATTATCAAAAACAATTAAAAATCGACACACTTCTTGCAATAAGTCCTTATCAACACTAGTTAAATAATCAATATATCCACTATTTAAAACACTACCAATATCACCGTAAACATTAAGAAATACGTTCAGCATAGAAAATGCGCCATTAAAACGAGTATCCGAATACAATTGTAATTTTTGTTTAAGCTTCACTTGTCGATGTGTTCTACCCCGGTCGAAGAAAACGATCAGTAAACGGTCGTATACGATACAAATACGGCCCGTTTTACGTGTCGTATTTTCTCCGTATAATAGGGGCAGTAATACGGCCGTATGTTCTATAGAATACGATAATATTACGCCGGCTTTACGAGGTTTTACGGCTGATATACGGTGTCCGTTTATGGCCGTAATACGATGCAAAAGACGCCGGTTTACGGTGGTCCGTTTTGATCGACCTGAGTAATAGCTAAATGTAATATAAAACGATGAGACTGCGGTTGATTGTTTTATCATGAATTGGTTGCAGGTGAC